GTGATGAGAAGAGACACGAAGAACAACATACAGGTGATGAGAAGAGACACGAAGAACAACATACAGGTGATGAGAAGAGACACGAAGAACAACATACAGGTGATGAGAAGAGAACAGAGACATAGGAAAACACGTACAGGGAATTACAACAGAGACATTTTACCCAAAAGAATTTGCAAAGTCAGCGTTAAGGAGATCGAGGCACGACGAAGAAGCTCAGGCTTATAATGAAAATACAAAGCCATGCTGGAGGAATTCCCGGACACAGTTACAACTCAAACGAGAGCAAGCATAAGACCTGTTAAACGTTACACAGAAAAAACGACTTTACTTCTATATGCGTGTCTGTAAAACTGTAAAAGTAGAAACAACTTGGTTTCTATAAGTATACCTGAAAACCTTGAAGAAACCATTTAGCTTCTATATGCTTACCTGTAAAGCTATATACGAATAAAACTATGAACATACCTGACGAGTAAAACTAACAACATACTTGACCAGAAAAAACTATGAACACACCTTTAAACTATGAACACACCTTTAAACTATGAACACACCTGTACAACTATGAACATACCTGTACAACTAATAATAATAAATAGCATTTTGTATAGCGCATATCCCCACTCAACAAGAAGCTTTATGCACTTCTCAATCTGTACCATTACCCCAGCAGACCTGAGAGCATTCTGAAACAACCTCAACTTCCTTTGAAGCATACAGTGTAAGCAGCCATTTATAAGCGCTAAAACACTAACATACTGACACAAGCATACCTGTACAACTATGAACATACTGACAAAAACATACCTGTAAAACTACGAACACACTTGTACAACCATGAACTACACCCATGAACATACCTATAAAACTATGAACATACCTGTACAACTCTACCTCAACTACTATGTACGTACCTGGCCTTTTCCTCCTCCACCGTCCTCCCGCCGATGTCCACACTGACGACGCCGCCGTTGCCATGGTGAATGGGAGGTACGCCACGCCCCTCTCCGTCCGGGAGTTCTTCCACAGCCACTCTGTTGGTGTACACTCCTCCCCCTCCCCCTCCCCCTCCTCCTCCTCCTGTTGAATCTGCATCTTTATCAATAGCCTCCTCTCCCTCCTCCGCGGCGCCAGCTCCCTTCTTCCCCTTCATCCCCTCCGCCTCCCCGTTACACAGCCGCTTGATGCTCTTGACGGGAGAGATCTGTCCGGACGAGCCGGAGAACGTCTTCTTGAGCCGTCCCATGATGCTCTCGTGGATGGGTTTGGTCACCCGCACGGTGCGGGGCAGTCCGTTCTCCAGGAAGGTTGTCTGGGGGGATGATTGATTGATTGATTGATTGGTGGATTGGTTCATTGATTGATTGATTGGTTGGTTCATTGATTGATTGATTGATTGAGTAGGTGTTTTACGGCACTATCGATTCAATTTTGATCATGTAAGTGCCATTAGCGGCATCGTTATCATACATGATAAATGATAATAATTTTTTTTAAAAATTATAATAATAATAAAATAATAATAACAACAACAATAATAAAAATAATAATAAAAATAATAAAAATAATAACAATAATGATACTACTACTACTGTTGCTGCTGCTACAGATATCGCCCGCAGTGGTGAAAGATAATTGAAAACGGATGGTTTTTAAAAAAAAGTAGATTATGATTACGCACAAATCGAGACAACGTAAATCATTTAAGAGGCGGTCTTCGACCCTATCTGTCAGGATCCACCCGGGATGAGAAGGATACAACGTCCCAGCTGAATGCATGATTCTCATTTAAAAAAAAAAAGTTTTAGTACAGGTTTTGCGGCGCTCGAAAACTGCATAAGGTCATATGAGCGCCAGAAGATTAGAGGTGTTACAGGAGAGTAGCAAACATAAAAAAGAAAAAGGGGAGATACGGACGATAAATGTTTGATAGGAAAGAATAAGCAAACCACACCAGAGCAACCACCAACCACCCATGACGATCATTTTATTATTGGGAATGGCCTAAAGACATTTCAGTCAGTGGCACCACCCGCGGGGGCTTACGGAGTCAGTTGTTATGAACAGTAGAATTGTAAATGGGCTGATTCATCAACGTCATGCTCATAACTGTGCCTGAACTTCAACAGGGAACTGCTGCTTTTTCTTTCCTAATCCTTACTATTGTCAGTCCTCTACTTCTTTTGTATGTTTGTCACTCTCTTGTGACCCGGTATATCCGAGGTGCCTTGATAGTTGAAGCAGACGTTGTGCTGTTGAAGCTAGAGAGGTGAACAGAGTAAGTCTGATTCCCTGTAAGGACTTCTCTGTTGACATCTACTAAAACAAAGAAACAAATAAAAACGTTCCGTTGTGGAATGGAACCCAAGCTTTCCGCTCCGTAGCCCAGCGTGACAGATCTACCAGCTAAGCATACTGGTGTGTCCATGAACAGAGAAAGAGGATCTGCCTGTCATGTTGAATATTCCAAGTGTGGGGTGGACGGGAAATTGTAGGGCCGTAGCAGATCAGAGGACTGGCCTCATAGAAAAAACGTCTGTGAGGCATCGTGGTGAAATCAGGCGCTCGTCAAAATAAAGAAACTCAAAGAAATCGGCATGTTTTTTTATTTTGCCGAAGGGCAATTTGTTTCAATTTAAAGGAAAAAAAATTGTGGCTCAACACCTTTTTTGTCCATTTAATAACACTTTTTTGAGTGGATTTTAGTGGAAAACATTGATTAAAGGCACCAAAAATGTAATTTTTTAGTTTCCAAGGACTCTCAGGCAATGGAAGTTACCAAATTTTAGCGGCCATTTTCTGGCTAATTTTACCTCTCAAACCAGGCTACACTGACCTCCTTCAATCGCAAATATTTCGACTTCTATTCAAGATAGATAGATAGATAGATATTTTTTAAGTAAAAGGAAGGCAAATGAACAGGCTTTAAGTCGATACCAATAACTCCATAATATGCCCTAAAATTGACGAGCGCCTGATTCCACCACGTCGTGACTCAATCTATTCACACAATTGTAGACGTCGATCGATTCTCACTCCCATGTTTGAGTTTGGATAATTTCTACAGCAGAAAATTGTTACTGGGCGTAATAAAAGAACACAACAGGCAATTTGCTCTACACCAAAAGATACAGGTTTCTCCAATAGGCAGGTTTTGAGAGAGGATACTTCCCAGTTCGCGCTAAATATAAAATCATAAATAATCAAGACTCAAATGATAGAAGTTGGCGATTGGGGCGATTTTATTTTTGTCTGCCGAGCTCGTTAGAGCAGCTTACTGAAGCAGGATACAGTGTTGGTGAATGTGGGGCAGCCTAGGGTAGATAGATAGATAGATAGATAGATAGATAGATAGATAGATAGATAGATAGATAG